TTTCCCTTGATGAATTTGAATAAAGCAAGAACAAAAGTGGTTTGTGCAAAATAATATGGTACCATCATTTATTTCGTAGGCTTCTCCGCAGCTGATGAGAAGCCCTCGAAATAAATGATGGTACCATATTATTCTGCACAAACCACATTTCTTCTTGCTTTATTCAAAGACTGTTTTACAATTATTTCACATAACTCTAATCCAAGGTTAGTTATTGAAGGTGATGGAAGCACTTTGGATTAATCACATACAGCCTAAACTGTGTGTAGGTAGTTTTGGGTATTTTATTTAAGTGAGTAATTGTAATGAACTTTATTTTATTATTGTTAACCATGTTAGTTGTAAAGCGGTTGTAAAGAAACTACGAAATTATATCATCTCGCGAAATTTGTCTTCTTAATGCCTTATTCAAATTTATCAAAGGGACTAATTGTTTTAATATATATGATGTCTCCGCAGCGCTTTCCACAACCATTTTGGATATTCACGATTGTTAATACAGCTCTCGAAAATATCCAATTTTGCATTTACTTCGGCAAGGTTGATAGAGTAACGTAGAAACCCGTTGAGTTCCTTCACTGTCAAAGGGTCCTTGCTTTTGTCATATCGTTTAAAACACCCATATGGACATTAGAAAGAAGAGAACACGAAAAGAACACGCCGAAAAAAGATACCTTTGCTGAACTTCGTGTTCACTTCTTTCTAATGTCCATATGGGTGTTTTCCACGAATTTAAGAAGAACCGAACTATGTTGTATAATGGTTAGTGTTCATAGATTTCAAGTTGTCTGCTTTAAGAGACGAATCAACAAGTTACATGTTAGTAGCACAAACCCGTGTATTCAATTCTCTCAAATATTACAAATGTGTGATCATGAGAAAACTGATGAGAATACGAGAATCTTTCAAAAAGGAAACTAAAAGTACTTTCATATTTTCTGTGATATTCTGAAAGTACACAGGAATATCCTGAAAACAAATTGCTGAAATTCTCACATTTCTACTTCAGGTACCAACCAAATCACCCTGTACTTTGAGTAAGCTGGAATATATTCACAGTGATACCAGTGGGAAACATGTTCTCACATGATAGCAGTAACCTATCCTCTATTTCATGTGATTCTGCGCTCATTTACAATATCTAGAAAATTGTCCTTTTACGTAGCGATAAATTTTACCACGTAGAGAAATGTTTTCTAATCTCAAGATAATGTTTTCAGTGTGAGCGTACTGTAATTAATTTGAAAACTATCGAAAGAGTTGCTCATACAGTTACTCCGCCTTAGAATTCTGAATTAATCTGAATAGGAATAGGGCGACAAATGTACTGGGAGAGATCATATGAGGTCACTGTTTTAGAAAAAAAATTGTTTGGAGGATTCTTCTGAACAGAAATATAAAGTACAATAATGACAGGATCTAAGAGTAATATTGGTCAGGAATGCTGCAAGTTGCTTTTGAATAATCAACGGTGAAGAGGATTGACTATTTATAGGATAATTAGACGACTACGCTTGGAATCAAGAGGACAACAGAGTTCAAGAGATTTCTGCGGGGAGAAACAAAGTTTTACTTAGAAGTATTGTGACGGATATTATCCTGCATAACAACAGAAGATAGGCCTTCTTAAAACAGCTAAATAAAAATAGGTGTGGAGGTGGGGTGAGTGATTACTAGACGAAGAATGACGTTTTCTAAACAGGACCGATAACCATGTAGTAACTTTTGAATACTTCAGTATCATCAAGGCAGTGTGAGTGAGATTCATTACTGCCTCTTTCGCTCTGCATGCAGAGATTTAGTTTAAATAGTTTACTGGCGATCACCTTAGCAAAAAGTATCAAGCTAGGTTGTTTTTCTGCCCTGTTGATTATCTTCAACGCCTTCAGATTGTCCCACAACATTGCCAGTGTCCAATAGATGGCGCACAACAGCACTGTTTGATGTCTGTGAGACCTTTTTACTCTCAAGTTGTGTTGTGTATGTTCAGGAATTCGGAATATAACTCTTCTCTCTGTTCCTCCATAGCTCATGCTTTGTCATGGACATGCGAATCGGTAGACAGACTGTTGAAGATGACACAATGTGGGAGCTTGTTCACTTTTGATTGTCTTAAACAACTGATTATCTGGTCAACACATTCATTCTTGACGCCTGGATTTGTTCTTATTTTGACGTCATTAAATCTGCATCTTGTTCTACTGGCAGTATCATCATATTCGTGAGAAACATGATCGCGTAGGTTATGGAGCTGAAGTCTTCAAAAGGTTCAGATATACTGCTCTAAATATAGGCGAAACAACCTATTGTACTTCACAGTATGGTAGCGTGGTTTATTTCATTGGCTTCGAATAAGCTGCATACAAAACTAAGGATTAAGTGGATTTATGCAAATGGCAGCTTCAGATTACTTGCATTGACTACGTGGTGTCTGAATACACGATACCTCAAAATTGATAAATAGTGTTCAGGAACTACACTTCTATTACGTGTACAGAGTGGGTTCAAGTTGAAACAAAGCGAAATTAGCGAAAACATCATAAATGTCTGGATTTTGTGGGGAAAGATTGGTGTATTGAAGACAAGAGGTGCATGAGATGACAATTAAATATTAAGCGACATATCACAGTGATGGTTCAAACTCAATTCGAGGGAAATGAGGCAAGATGAATCACGTGTGGTCATGCATCATTGGTAACATTTGTGGCGATTAAATGAGCGAGTAAATACAAAGAATTCCTGCAACTCGAGTGATCTGATGACCATTGATTTCCGAACTCAGAAATCCAGTTTTAAATTATTGATATCAATGACTATGGAGAATTTGTGGAGAATCAGACTACACTGTGCATTGACAATTAAAATTTACAACTATACTGCGAATAGTAATCAGCAGAGTCGGCTCGAAAATTACCAAGTGTCCATACATTCATAACGCGAATTCATTTCGAAATCCATGGAGTAAATCCTGAGTATTGGAAAACCTAAATGAAGAATTTCCACAATCCCTGAAAGAATGCAGATGCAATTTATCTAATGTAAATGTACTGTTCAGTCCGTTAGGATTCTGGAGGCAATGTTCATCGTAGGTTTGCAATCACTGTTATCCTTCATCTCTCATGGGTTTACCAACATCCGCACAAGATCGGTTGTAAGCTCCATAAAGTTCGTATTCGCATTCTCACTTTTGTGAGCAACGTCCTAGTCTCTTGTAGGCAAAGAATAGGACTTACATGTTTCCATGGACACCTCTATGTTGCCACCACGCCATCAAATTTACAATCGAAGTAGAAACCAATGAGACAATCTCCTTTCTGGACGTTCATTTAAGTAAGAAGAACGATAGTACCTTGAGCAGATCAGTACACAGAAAACCTACGTGGAACAGTCAGTTGACAAACTTCTACAGTTAGGTACCAATTAGTCGTAAGCGAAACTTGATTATATCTCTGGCGACTAGAATCCGAAAAATCTGCAGTCCTGAATCAATAGAGGAAGAGATCGCCCTCTTAAGGAAGACACTGCTCGAGAACGGCTACCCACCTCGTTTTATAGATAAGCATATTAAGCCTAAGACTTACAAAGAACAACCCATTACAGTGCAGAAGAAGATGGTCTACATGAATGTACCCTTCAAAGGTGACCTTCTGGCTGACACCTTGAAGAAGAGGATATCTAGTGCTCTCAGAAGGACATTCTTCGCTGCCTCCCGGCCATTGTTCTTCAACTACTCTAAAGATAAACTATCGCATTGACCACCTCCATGTGTATCTACCAATTCACCTGCTCTTGCGGAGCGAGGTATATAGGTCGTTCGATGCAAGTTTTATCTAAAAGAGTTCAAGAAAACTATCCCGCCTGGCTAAGGAAAGGTAACAACGGAGCAATAAGGAGCTCCATTACTGAATGCTCTCGAAGACATTTTCAGACATAACTTGATCAGTTTTTACCTTTCTCAAGATCTCAGTTGGACATGTCGGGATCTCCGTATCATCCAATAGCGAAATAGCTAGCAGAACTCCTACAACCTGTTAGAGAACGAATTTCAAAACATTCTCTTCGAGATACTTTTGAATTCATCGATTGCATCAAAGATGTTAAAGTGGGAGACAAACGTATGATTTCACTCGACGTCGAGTTTCTCTTTACAAACGTCTCTATCACTGAGACGATTTGTTTTCTATGCAAATACTTGGAAGAAAACAACTTGAATATTGGAATACCTACCACCAAGCTAAAAGAACTCCTACTCAGATGCACCCTAAATGTCCATTTCACATTCAATGGGAACTTCTATAGACAACAAGATGGTGTGGCGATGGGATCACCTTTGGGTCCGGTGCTGGCTGATATTTTCATGGCTAGTTTGGAAAACGGTCCGCTGAAAGCAACCATCGACAAATTCTTCTTATACAGAAGCTCGTAACTGACAGAGACATCGTCGTCGGATACAGATGTTCTGCGAATGACTGCTACTTTATAGTTTTCAATTGTCATGTCTTATAGAACTTGATCAATTCAATAATCGACTTCCGTAACTATATTCACAAGCATCGCTTAGGCAACTGATATGACTTTGGATATATTTGTGACCCAATTCCCACAACCATAAACAATGCTTCAATTGACATGAACCATATATACTAGAGTTGTTGAAACCACAGTCACTTAGGACATAGAAGAAATGTCTTTTAAGCGTAATTGCACATGTTGGAGAACACATGCAAGTGAATTCGATTCTCACATACTACTCACCTGTCCATCGTCTGTTCAGAACACAATTCATTTGCAAGTAAATGTACTTTCATACAACTGAGCAATTATCAAACATTATACTTTTTCATTTAAACCCATGTGATTGGATTGTATACAATCTGTTTATTATTTTTATCTAAGGACACTGTTTTCCCTCATCAACAATTACACGTAGTCATGTGATGATGAGAACAAAATTACTGTATATAAACGGAGATACTAGAAGCTCATTTTCAAGTGATTCTGAGCAGAAACATGATGCTTTCAATGCAATTTATTCTTCTCTTAGTAGTTCCACTGGCTTTGGCTGATTGGGATGTGAATACTGCTAAATTACTTCGATTGCATAATGAGTATCGTCAACAGTTGCTTGACTGTAAAGTGGAGGGGCAACCAGCAGCTAAGAGAATGCCTCCTCTCGTGAGTCCAATTTGTGTTGTTTTGTATTGTTTATAAAGTGTTAAGATAATTTAAAACTGCTGTAGTTTCAGTGATTGAACAACGTTCTTCTGTACGCAGAGCTTAGAGATTGATATGGGAATCGCCATCTCTCTGGATGTTTGAAGAAGTTTGACTCAAACTCCTCTCGATAGATTTCCGCATAGTGTACACATACTAGAGACGATTAGCTATTACAGGATAGAGCTATTAGAGGATTCGTTTCCTCCTTTAAAATAACGCTGAGCTTAACCAGCATGCTCAGCTGCACATGAGCATTTGAATTAATAGATACACACTGGTAATTTCACCATTCTAAGCTTTTCATTCCCATTCATACCAATCACTGGTTATACGGAGGAAGTGTGTCGGAGCTTAGTTGATCAGGACAGACGGAATCTGACAGACATGTTCTTGGAGGCAATGAAACGTGCGTCATTTAAGTGGTGCAGGTGTCATGGAATCGATTATGTAGAGTTTGACGTATTCTCTTGCATCAATCACTTACTTACTTTACTTTACTTCGGCTATCTCCTACGGGAGGATGAGCCGGCTTCATGAACATCTCGAATCATCGCTGCCCAGGCGCGGCGATCTGATGAAGAGAGTTCATCAAGTTTCGTGGGAATTTGGTACGAGTGATGTCCCCAGAATCGCTCAGAACTAATTACAATCAAAAGTCAATCTGAACGAAGAATATTCTTTTCAATAATTTCTCCTCTTCAGGTTCTTACAATTATAAAATATAATATTTGTTGCCGTTACAATAGTGGCCAGTTATGTGGCAGATACATTTTTAACGTAGAATAACAGATTAGTTATTGAGAAAAAGCCTCTGTTTTTACGTCTCCAATTCAAAGGAGATACTCCTGTGGAGATTCTATCGCAACGTTTAACGAGGGCGATCAAGAAAACTTTCTACTCTGCACGTCTGTGTTTATCCTTCAGTAGCCGTCCAATGTTCATCCAGCAACTCAAAGATGTCTTACCTAAGCTTAACTTTTTTCATGCATATACCATTTCAACTGTCCCTGTGGTTCAGGTTATATAGGGCGCACGATTAAGCAGGTTCGTCTACGGGCTCGAGAACATTTACCAGCTTGGTTCAGCAGGGGGGAAATTAAGTGCATAAAATGCTCGATCCTGTCACACTTGGTCGACACTGGACATCATATCGATGTCAACACAGCTTTCAGGGTTATATACCGAATTCCGAAGTCGTTATCACGTACAGTTCGCTTACGTCTTCTACACATAGCTGAAGCTGTTGCAATAAGATCGACTAAACCGGAACTTTGTATCCAAAAAGAATACGTCCAGACGCTGTTCCTACCGTGGCCAAACTTGGATTGATGATTCTTCTTCTCACAAAGAGTGCTCCTTCCCCTTAACACTCTTGGCTTTTTTTTCCTTTGCGTATTATTACAAATATTAATATTACAATTATTATTATTATTATTCGTCATAATTTATGCCCTTCATGCAATCATTCTCTCAATACTATCGCATTTTTTTTTCGTTTATACTATCCGGACTTATTATTAGTGATATTATCTCTTTTCTCAATTTATGCCTCCACCTGTTTCATTTCACATATTCGTTATCTCATTATGAACCTCCCATTGCAGTCTTACTATCTCCTGTTTAACACAGACCACTTTGTACTAGCCACTCACCTGACACCCTTTTATAACCTTGAACTGACTTGTCAATTTTCCTACCCCACACTCTACAAATCCATTATGATTAATCACCACCACCATTGTCTCCCATTTCACCGAAATATTTTGTAATCGAATTCAGCCTAGCACGTTTGTCACACAAATACGACTATTTATTTTGACACGCCATAACTAATCTGTTATTCTACGTTAAAAATGTATCTGCCACATAACTGGCCACTATTGTAACGGCAACAAATATTATATTTTATAATTGTAAGAACCTGAAGAGGAGAAATTATTGAAAAGAATATTCTTCGTTCAGATTGACTTTTAATTTCATAATATGGGAATTTTCCACACTATCAAATCTTATAATTACAATCAGTCAAGTTCACATTCGCCTTCCAAGATGTCTTCCTGAGCACTTCACTGGTACTCTTAAACGTTTTGACAGATATGTGTATACTTACTTTACCAACACACCGCTATTTTTCCTTGTTCTTTCTCTATCTATTACAGCAATGGGATGAGGAACTGGCTAGTGAAGCGAAAGAGTTATCAAGAATGTGTAAATTTCCAACTAACAGTCCTACAAGCAAAAGATTTCGTTCAGTCGGACAGAATGCTGGCACTTGTACAAATGTCGAAAAGTAATTTTGATGAATAAAAGAAAAGCATATATCGTATTTATTTTAGTGTTATGAAGGAATGGTTCTCCCAGCACAAATTTTATAATTTTAAAAACAATCAGTGCAGTGGCCAATGTCTAACCTACTTGCAGGTAAGTGTTGATTGATGAATGGACTTCAGGCATAGTACCATTTTAAGTGAGTCTTAGTTGAAATGTTTTTAAGCATGTAAACAAAAGTTTCCCAAATGGGACCAATTGTTCACCTGTTCTTTCTGTGTAGATATAAGTATAAAACTTAGGCACTGTGGTAGGGTATAATTCCATAATGGATAAGATTTTATTTTGACAAATCACACAGTGTTGTACAGTTATATTAACTGATGACGTTTTGAGCACAAACTATTGCTCATAATCATATCTGGTTACTTACACAACTTCTTTCCTTCATTTATATACATGTGTGGAATCGATTAGATATTGGAATAAAATTCAATGTGAGATAACGCTTCTTCTATCTGTTTTATTTCGTCATTCAGGTCGTTGGTGTTAAATAACTATCCTATAAAATTCATTAAGAAGATCAGTAAAGGCCAAAAACAAAATAAGAATAATTGTGTAACTAGTAGTAATAACATAAATAAGAGAGAATATAAATCTTCTACTGTTATACCACATAAGGAGGGGACATCTGAGGCCCTACGTAGGATTCTCAATAAAGCAGGAATTAGGGTGGCATTCAAACCCACAAACTCACTCAGAGACAAACTTTGTAGTTTGAAGGACCCATTGGACCCAATTAAACAAAATAATATAATTTACAAAATGCCCTGCAATGACTGTGAGTTAGTTCAACTACATAGGTCAAACTAGTAGATCAGGGATAGTCAGATTATCAGAACATAAGAATTTAGCTAAGGGAAAACTGATTGACCCTGAAAAGACAAGTAATTTAGAAAAAAGCTCAGCTATTCCACTTTACGCATTAACTAACAACCACACAATAGGGTGGGATAGGGTTAAAATTCTAAAAAGTAATATAGGTAGGTGGAGAGAGAGTTTGATTACGGAATCCTTATTCATCGAGTCTACACCCAACACATGCAACAGAAATGACTCAATGCAAATACCAGAAATATGGAAGATATTATTACCGCCGGTCAAATCAGAAGAGGATGATAAATAATCTTAAAATTCTATTCCCATTCAAGCACATCAAAACATTCTAACAATCAACTTATTATGACCATAAAAACACTCGTCATATTTCCCATCTAATTGTAATGGATTAATAACACTCTTACTATTATTTGTGTGTAGATATTTGGATTTATTCTATTTCTCTGGAACAAGACTGTACCAGTGGTGTGTATTGCTTGATGTTGAACATCTGTACTACTTAATATCCCTTATTGCTGTTCCATTGAGTTCCGAGTGGACCATAGGGCTTCAACATCAGCTATGTCCATGATTGCTCATAGCCTGTTATCTCCTCCTCATCATACGATCTCGATGTCTTCCCCGACGCCACGCCCCAGTCGTCTCTTCCCATTTGTGATTCCCCTCAAGCTATGGCCTGCACTAAGCCTGATATCATTCGATGGCCTATTTAACGTATCTCTGATCCATATCCATTTTCTCCAACATATTTGTTGAGCAATTGGCTCTTCGTTGATTCGCTCATTGCCACATTTTCTTGTTGCTATTTTTTTCCGGCCGCCGATTTGGTCTCCAATATGAAGCCGGAGAAGGCAGATGTTGTTAAAATTCAGCAGTGGCCTGTTGGAAATGTTTAAGGTAACACACCATATAGAAGTACTGACTGACATAACATCTGTGATGAACAGAATTTCAATCTTGTTACTTAAGCTGGCTGAGTCCAGAAGATTTCCAAACTGATCTCGGATTATTATTATTATATTATTGTATCCTTTAATTCCTAGAGGAACATAGGGCTTCAGCCGTGCGTCTCTATTGAGTTCAGTTCTCTGCTAGAGTCTTCACCTGGCTCCAAGTCTGCCCACACGTCTTCATCTCCTCTTCACATGACCTTCTCCAAGTCACCCTTCCACTGACGACCAACTCGCCGCTTCCCTTTCGGCTTCCACTCGAGCAATGGCTTGTCTAGTGATGTCACTTGATGATTTGTTTCCTCAGAGTATGGCCAGCCAATCCATCTCCATTTCTTCCTGCCTATTTGTTTCACAATCGGTTCCTGGTTGGTTCGCTCCCAGAGATCCCTGTTGCTGATCTTTTCTGGCCGGCCATCTGATCTTGAGTAGTATTGAGCGAAGACAACTGTTAGTGAAGGTCTGTAGTTTGTTTGAGATGCTCTTTATGACGCGCAGTGCAAGTCTCTGATCCGTGTAGTGAGTAGCACTGACTTCACATTGGAGTTGAAAATCCGGATCTTATTTTTCATGCTGAGTGTTGTTGACCTCCACACAGACTTGATAGTAGTGAAAGCTTGTCTTGCTTTTCCGATTCTTGCTTTGATATCCTCGTCAGTTCCGCCTGTAATTTAAAGGATGCTTCCCAGGTAGGTAAAGGAGGTTGTTTCTTTCAGGTTCCTTCCATTTATGCTGATTGTTGCCTGTTGTTGTTGTTGCTGTTGGTGGTGTTGCCCGGGAATCTTCATCACCTCTGTCTTCTCTATGTTTACCTGAAGTCTTATCTTTGATGCTTCTTCTGCCAACTTGTTGCTTTTCGCTTGAGTATCTTGCCTTCCCGATTCTGACTGGTTTTGACACCTTCATCCATTCCGACTGCCTGTAGTTGAAACGATGCTGGATGCCTAGATAAGTGAAGGAAGTAACCTCTGTCAAGTCTCTTCCTTTGGTGATGATCGGTGTTGGTTGGTTGTCTTTAACACCTCTATCTGCTCTATGTTCGCATCGAGTCATGTATTCCCTGCCTGCCAGTCTCTTCTTCCAGTTTGTTAGTTTCCGCCTGCTTGCAAGTCTTCGAGTCTGTGCGACATTAAACATAGATCACAAAAGCGCCAAATCGAGATCTTACAGAGTCTTTGTGTTGGTTCAACATATTTTTGTCTTCTCAATCCCCATGATCACTCTGACGCATAATACAGTTCACCACAATCAGGAATATCATCAGTGATAATAGGCGGCCAGCTTGTCTTACTCCTGAACTCACTTCGAACGCCTCGCTGAGTTTTCCAAAGTGGATCACCTGACGCGTGTCATTGTCATATAGCCAGCTATTGAATGATGTCGATAAATACTTGGACACTGCATGCCAAAGTGTTGAAGTAGTTTCCAAATTACTTCTCTGTCAGCGCTGTCTGGTGAAGGCCTTTTAGAAGTCAATGGAGGAAGTTGAGGTAGAGGTTTGACTGCCACGCTATGCTTTGTTCCGTGATGACGATGCGTAGAGCTGCAGTTTGAACAGCAGATGATTTGCCTTTCCTGAATGCAGCTTGTTCCGGTGGGTGGCGGAGTTCTGAGTCCATTCCATCGTTTATTCTCTCCATGTTGAGGCGATTCACTATTTTTATAGGGGTGGAGAAGAGCATTATTCCACGCTAGTTCCTGCAGACGCCAAGATTTCACCTCTTTGGCAGTTTGACAAGATAGCCAGCCTTCTTCAAATAGGTAAAACTCTTTCCTTAATTCCTTCAAAACATTTTTGCAGTAATGGCTTGATCACATCTCCAGCAGTCTGAGGGGCTGTTTTCAGTGCTTTGGAGTGAAGAAATTCCGTCTGGTCCTGCTGTTTTCCAGGCTGGCCTTCTGTAGCTGGATCTCATTGGAGGATTGGTGTCCACTGGCAGGCAGTCCTCTGCGTGCTGTTGAAGGTGGTGGTATTTGTGAGCGATTTATTATTATTATTATTCCCTTAGGTTCCGAGTGTCAATTCGGTTTCACAAGCACATTGTCATTTCGGTCGGTTGCCTGTGGTCCATTTTAGGCTGGTCTCACTATGACTGTAAGCTTTTATCCCCTCCTTACACCACCTCCACTATTTTACCTTCCAACTCAGCCTCAACTCATCGTTTCCCATTCGGGTTCCACCATAGAGCTTCACCTAGCCTAGTTGACTACTTCACCAGTTCACCGACCAGTCGTGAGACCTGAAAAAGCAGGAAGCCTGATCATAGGACTAGCTACCTTGCTACCTTTCTTCCTATCGTCGGAATACCGATACCATCAAACTGAAACCAATCTGGAAATCTTCGTCACTCAACTCAGCATCAACAACAAAATTCGGATTTCAATACAAACGTCAAGTCAGTCAGTTCTTCTATACAGATCAGAAACCTGGCGGGTCACCAAGAATATTTCCAACAGCCTGTTGCAGACCTTTATCAACACCTGTCTTCGTTTTATACTCAAGATCAGATAGCCGGAAAGAATCGCCAACAAGAAGCTATGGGAACAAACAAAACAAGAACCAATCGTCCAACAAATATGCAGGAGAAAGTGGAGATGGATTGGACACTCGGTGAGGAGGCCGCTGCTGGTGACATCGCGCGTCAGGCCATCGCTCGAGTGGAACCCGAAAGGGAAGCGGCGAGTGGGACATCCAAGGGTGACATGAATGAGATCGTGCGAAGAGGAATTGAAACAGTATGGAATAACATGGATGCAAGTGAAAAGTACAGCAGAAGCAGACAGAAACAAGTGGATGCGTGCAGTTGAAGCCCTATGTTGTCCACTAGGAACCCAAGGTAACAATCATAATAATAATAATAATCGATGCGGAAAACCCCAAAGGAGACAAATAATATATGTAGGAAATTGGTATAAATTATTTTTTTCTATTTAACCTCTGCCTGTGTCACAATCTTTATTTCTCCAAATTTCTTTTTATTTATTATTTTGAAAAATAGATAATTTTTGAAAATACTACACATATTGGATGTGGAGTCAGTAAATGTCAAAGGGGTGATCAAAATCACTACCTATTCGCAGTCTGTAACTATGGCCCAGGGTAACAATGACTAAAATTTGCTAATGATTTTTTTTATTATTTCATTGTCAAGTATTCAGTTCATTGCTAAATAGTTAGAAGACATACCGACATACTGACAGAAGGTTTCAATCTCTAGTTTCTATAACTAGTGAAACGAACTTTTAAGATAAGCATGTGGACATTAACAAATTCTACAATGTGCAGTTGCAGCGATTTCGTCAATTTCACGTTTCATACAAATGGTTCCCTTGATAAATTTCGATAAAGAAAGGAAGAAGAAATTTGCAGTATAAAATGATATCATTATTCTCTTTCACAGGTTCTCATCAGCCGCTGCAGTCTACCTGAAATTACAATGGTTATATAAATGATAATAACATACACTTTAATGTTTGAGTAGTAGTAGTAGTAGAGAAGAGATAAAATTGGCGCATCCAAAAAAGAATGAAAGCATTACAATTCTTAGTTTAAGTTGTCGTCATCAATTTATACACTTTCAAAGTTGAGAAGAGGGGAGGGGTAAGACAGAAAACAGGAAAAGTTAATTAACAGAACAGTGTTAGCTTGTAGGTTCACATAGCAACTCCAAAAAACAAAAGCGGTTACAGTTTATGAGATTAAGATTTGTTCAGTGAGTTGAGATCACTGAATTAGATGACTAATTATTGTAATCAAAATCAAAATTCAGTTATCAAGGGAGTGAGAGGTTAATCACACTCTCTTTCTGTATGCATAAGTCTCGTTTAAATCGTTTGATTGTGATCGCTTCGCAAATCGCAGTAAATTTGCTGTCCTCTGTCTGTTTAATATTTTGAAGGACTTAGAAATCTCTACGAGATGTCCAGTATCAACAATATGTCTGGTAATTGCACTCTGAGAATATTTGCTTCCTTTCAGGCATAGGTTTCTTGGAATATGTTCAGAAAACCGGATAGGACAGAAAGGACATATTCCAAGAAACCTATGCCGGTGGTTCCCCAAATGAACTCACTTTGTGATCAATCTTAGAATTCACGTTCCATTTCAAATCCATACCAGTTTTACTATTCTGGCTATAGACTGGATTTATCTTTGTAGAAGTAGATTACTTATACGAAAGATACCTTCATCGTCGTGAAATTAAACGAAACATTAATACGCTGAAGGTGAAGGACGCAGTCCACTTAATTGAGGGTACTTAATCTTTCAAATATATCTTCTTATCATCATTCTCTTAGGTTACTAGTGGAAAAAATGGCTTCATCAGAATGTCTCAATGTTGTCTTTCCCTTTGAATTCCTATGTGGCTGACCATATGATTGCCTACAATCTACTACTACCTCCCTTTCACACAATCTCCTCCATGCCACTCACCTTCACAGGCAAGCCTCACTCGTCATCTCCCGGTTCAGGTTAGAATAGAGGGATGTGTGGGAGATGTCACCCAGTAGTCGCCTCTACGTGTGTCGAATCCTTCTCCATTTTCTTACGAATATTTATCGTGCAAAATATTCTTGAATAGGTCATTCCCAGGGTTTCGTGCTGCTGATTCTTTCTCACCAGCCATCTGTTCTTCAGAATGTAGTCAGTTAACGCAGATGTTAGTAATATATCTGAAGTGAAAAGGGTTATCGTGACGCGAAGGACAAATTTCTTATTCATAAAGTAGAATGGATGTGGAAAATCCAAATTTTGTCATATTTTGTTGGCTTAGGAAATTTCAAAAATGATTTCAGAGTGATGAAGATGGACCTTGCCTTTCCATTTGTGAATACGACATATTTATCCATACCAACAACCTGCAGTTGAAACGATTCTGCCCAAGCTAAGTGAAAGAGGTCACGTCACCTAGATTCTTTCCCTTGACAGTATGATTGCTCAATCCAGATGAGAACGTACTAGAATGTGGAATTATCAGAATATCTGAAGTACAACGTTTCTAGAACTTCATCAAATTGAAGAACCTCCCTCCCTCTGGCGCTACTGTGATTCAGCACACATATACACTAATGGTTTGCATTCTTTTGATAATGTCTGTGTTGCTGGAATCTTTGATGACTCTTCAAAGCTGGCATACATCTAAAATAACCGGTCAATTATTAACATATCACTGCGAAATCTGGATTCCGTTCAAATATTCTTAAGTGGTACCGTATCTGCCAATACCTATTTATAATTGTATTCCAGATGTATCTCAGTGATTAGCCTTACACTGGAAGGTGATCTTGACCTTGACAGTTTGAATTCCTAGAGCTGCGGTTAGTAGAAACAGCAGATAAACTGATAGACACATGAAGATGTGGCTAGCCTCAATACGTGTCGTGTTTCAGTGTCGGGATTACAAACAACTTGCTAATATTACACAGTCATGATGGTTGCATCATATCGATTTCTCTCAACTATCTGACTCTGAAGGAGATTATGAGTACAGGAATTTAAAATAAGCAACAGGTATTTGTGAAGTAGGTTTTAGTGTTAGATAAATGAGTTGAAATTCATTTGATAAACTATGTAAAGTCAGTCTCATAGCATGGCTTTTCTCACTTTTAGAATAGATACTCGTGTCAGACCATATGAAGCGAGAAATATCAACGAAGTTTGTCCAGTGAAAGAAACTGCAGCACCCGTTCAAATGGAACATGGACAACAGCAGCCAACTATGGGCACCATGAAATCTAACGGCAGAAATTGTTACTGCTTTAAGTGAATACATAATTAATTTATTAATCTGATAGTTAACTAATGAATTATACTCTCATATTTCATAAAATATTTCTGTAATTTAACGTATGTCCTTTTAAAATACAAATGAGTTTTAAATTTTACTGGATTTCTATCGTTGAGAAGAATTTCTGTGAAACATTTATTATTTAGCTCGAAATTCCGCATTCAGTCATATGAAAAAGAGAAAACGTTCAGCGAAGAGACTCTTCACAATGAAGGACTCCAACAAAGAAGTCTCCACCTCCCAATGTGGCTTAAACTAACTGTTGTGGATTTCATTGACTGATGAAGCGCCATGTTTTGGTTTGATCACCACTGGCTCTTTTCCAACCTGACCACCCTATGTTAGCGAACATTGCCCGTCGAAGACGAGTATGAATGTGTAATGTGAGAATGTCCGAAATGCGTTTAGTAAATAGGCCATGCACGTTCCAGATAATTTAAGTCTTCTTATTGTTTTGTCGAGACTACTCTACTATACTCATAAGATAATCTTTTGACTCGAAAACACCGAGAACAAGTCACCCAACTAAGTGAGATGTCATATAAAAGAAAAGAAAGCGTTTAGCGAAGAGACTCTTTTCAGCGAATTCATTCACTGAGCTGTACAATCGCATTTATATAAAATTGTGTTTATGTGTGTACATTAGATTTATAAAGTTTAGATAATTACGTAATATAAGTATTATTTGGCTTGGAAACAAACGTTAATTAGATAGAAAATAAAATAAAACTGATTAAGTGAATTGGATGACGTAATACAATTGAGTAGAATTCAGAGTAAGTCAGGTTGGCAACAGTGTTAATGAGTGGTGGTTAAAATTAAACAAGGGTGGGGCTAGAGAATAATACAGTTGAAAATTAAGTAGATTAATCGGATGACGTGATATAGTTGACTAGAAATTGGACGTGCTTCGAGTTAGCAACATTGTTAATGAGGGTAGAGATTACAAAAGGGTGGGGTAGAGAATAATACAAATGAAAACGTGAAATAATAAAATGCAAAAGACAAAATAATACAATTAGTAAGACTGAAATTAAGAAAGATTACGTCCATTGTAGTTTTAATGAATGAACGAATTTCTTTTGTATGCAGAGTTCAGGATTTAGCAGATGAATTGCCATTGCTTCTGCGATATGAAGAAGTTTGATCCGTACACTTTTAGCAAGATTGCCTTGTATTCTGTAGATAATTTTGAAGTTTATTTCGGGTTTGATTTGGTGTCCAGAGTCGATCAAATGTTCAAGGATCGAGCTGCGGGGGCATCTGTTTTCTCCTTTATAAAACTATGAAGGTAAATGTTCGTTGACGCGTTTGGATAGCGAACGCTGAGTACGGCCGATATAGCTGGCTCCACACGAGCAGGTGAATTGGTAGATGCACACAGATGAGGCCAACAGCGGTAGCTTATACTTCACGTTCATGCGAATCATTGGTCTCGTGGAGAACGTCAGTTGTAATTCAGCTGCAAAGAAGGTTATCTTCAATGAGCGGGAGAGCCGATTTCTCAGTATTTCTGTAGATTGGTCTCCATTGAACTGTAGGTTCATATAGAGAAGTCTTTTTGGAGCACTGGGTGTGGACGGCTTCTCTGGTCTGGGTTTCATTGATTTTGTGATAAATCTTTCTGGATAGCCATTTTCAAGGAGGGTTTTCTTAAGAGTGTTCATTTCATCTTCTATGGCGTCCAGGCTTCAAATTCTACGTATCCTGTGGCTTAATGAACGGATTAGGTTTCGTTTAGTATCTATAGGCACCTAACTGTGGAAGTTAGTTAGCTGTCCGTTCCACGTTGGCTTTCTGTAGATGGATCTTTTCAATGTTCGGTCTTGTTGGCGTCTCGTTAGTTGAACATCAAGAAAAGATATCTTTGAGTTAGACTCTTTTTCAAGCTCCTGCCATACAGAAGGAAAATCTTGAACTGTGTATACAGAAGAGGTTTACTCAGTGCCTTTCTCTACTGCAGCCTAAAATTCGTGAAATAACTTGGTCTGTAAGCCGTATTCACTCAGTTTCTTAATTATCTTCGGTGTATTTAATTTCTATTAAATTCCTTTCTTTAAATTATACCTTGGAAATACCCTAAATGTCTTACCCTATTCAAAAATCCAATCTCGATTTAAAGTGCTTGTCGTTTTAATTTACTAGTGGAAACCACTTCTGAAACATGGCCATCATTTGTTGCTTTGAGATTGCGTAATTTATTGTTTCACTTATTGTGCTAATTCATATGTTTCATTACCAAGTGACTTAATTAACTGACCTCATAAGAAATCCACTGACCATTATTGTGCATGTTTGAAGTGAACTTTTGTAGTGAGTATAATTTATTCACTTAAGTCTTTTCGATTTCTTTGACATTAGTGTTCTGCAGATTTCTTAAACGATTCAAAATTCAGATAAAGAGAACTGTTGGTGGAGTATGGGTCAGTTAGTCATTTTACTCAAAATTTCTGCTTGTGTATCCTTGGTATTTGACTCATTTCAGGGAAATGACGCCAGATGTCGCATTTTCATTACACGAGATGTGGAGATGTAACAAGGAATTGTTGATCACAACACGCCTAGATAAAGGTATAGGCAGGCGCATAAGTCTTAATGGATAAAAACAAATTTGATATTAACAAAAAGTTTTCAGTTCTTTCAAACAGCGACAAAGAGAAATAATTGAAATGCAAACTCAACGAAATACTGAGTGAGCTTAAGTTTATTTATTTATTTAAACGCAGAAAAACTTGGTACAATATGGCACCAAGAAAGATGCGCCACAGAATAATAATAAAACAACATAGATTAAAAGTAAAAATA